TAGATTTTAGATTTTTATTTTATTTGCTCTCTTACTTTTCTGTTATTTTTTTATATTTGTTTTAAATTTTCTTTGTCTGCAAGTGTAAACACACAAACGCATACACCACCGAAATAATGAAAAACAGTTGCAAGCAAGCTAGCTGACAGGCTGGCTGACTGACTGGCACACACACGCACTCACACTCGCTCGCCCGTCCGTTCGACACAACTCTGCCACAACTCACGACGACCAAAAAAACGCGTCGTATACCTTTGAATAACAAAATCGTACTGAGAAAATCGAAAAACCCAAAACACATCAGCAAAAGCACACACAAAACCAAAGTTTTCAGCAAATACATATGATAGGGTTGCCAACATGTGTGTATTTGCTTGCGGAGATAGGATTAGATTCCGGGAATTTACAGGGTGAGATGTAAAAACTTCAACCAACTTCAGACTGCTTTCATTTCTAAGCCACTCGTCCGACAGCTGTTAAAATTATTCCAGTGATAGCTCATTATATTATTTACAGGCGAACTGGAATTCAAGCGTGATAGTGTGATTTCTTTATATTTGGCTGGAAAACCATAAGTGGCTATCGTAAGAGCACTCTAGCATTTAAATGTGAATAAATCTTTTGTGTCTCGTACCATCGCTCCTTACCGTGATACTGGTGGCGTAGTAGTCCGACGTCAAGGAAGTGGACGGAAGAAAACAGCAACATCAGCAGAAATGGTTCGAAAAGTAAAGAAGCGTCTCGATCGAAACCCGCGTCGCAGTGGCAGAAAAATGACTCGTGAGCTGAACATATCGCAATATTCCATTCGGCAAATATTCAAAAAATGAGCTCGGGGTAAAGCCATTGAAATTCCAAAAAGTGCAAGAACTTACACCTCAACAGAAAAATAGAAAAATATACTCAAAAGAGCTAAAGAGTTGCTTCGCATTGGCCGAAAGTGGTGAACTGCCGAATTTGGTTTTCTCCGCTCCGATGAGAAAACATTCGTTGTCCAGAATTTTGTAAACAAAGAAAATAATCGTATTTACTTGCCAAAGAGGTCTGCAGAAAATGTGCACCTTCGGTTGGCCACCAGAACTCAAATGCCGGCCATGGTGATGATTTGCACCGCCATATATAGCCGATGGTCGCTCTCCGCTTGTATTAATCGACCATGGCATCAGAATAAATGCCGAATATTACCGCGAATAATATTCTAGAGGGCACGCAAACATTTTGGCCGCAGACCTTGGACAACAGGACTCAGCACTAATGTGTGGAGTATTTAGGAGACAGTTTCGGCTTAAATCCCGAACTCTAAATCCTTCGACGGTCCAACTCTAGTTGGAAATTCCCTCTGGAGTTCTATGTGTTGGTAGAGTGGAATAATTGCAAAAGTAGCTAAATCTGATATGTAAACATTAAACTGCTTTCGAACCTTGTAAAGGATGGCAGGACCGCATCACGATTCGAAGTGGTGCGGCTGTTATTTTAACGAAAAATTATAGAGGGAGAGAACGAAGGACAATACGACGCTTCGATTGTTGTATACAAGCTTCGATTGTTGTATAATTTATTATACACCAGTCATTTTAGAAATTCTGGAACATTTCAACTTTATTACCCTTGTCCTTTGTAATTAAGGTTCAAAAAGGTAGAAATGCTGCATATGCCCTTAAAACGCCTTTTCTTCATTTCCACGGTTTATGATTACATTGGCAACTCTATTAATACAAATGAAGAGCATAGCAACTTTTCAAGAGAGCAAGTAACAAAGCAAACCCAATCACACACACATTGTCTTTGTTGTCTTGACATTACTTTGTTTTTGCTCGAGTTGACAGTGGGACTAAAACAAACAATAATAATAAAAAGAAAACAGCTGAGAGCGAATAATTTTTTTTGGGGTCTGATGGTATGCAGGCAATTTAAATGCAACAAAGTAACGATGGGCGATAACAAAAAATTCTCTTGAATGAAATTTTTGGTGTCAACAACTTTTAATTGAAATATAATAAAAAAAAACAATAAAGCAATAACAAGTAAAAGCTGATAAAATGCTATTGGCATCATGGTACAATAAAAAAGTAAAGCCAACAGCTGGTTAAAATTTTTTCTGATTGTGTCCGACTTCTATATATTAATCACTTTTGATATGGAATTGAAACATTAAACAGTTTGGATAATGTTATGAAATGTTCTACTATTTAAAAAAAATTGTTATGTTTATTTAAACATGTTTATGTTTAAATATTGAGACGTACCTGAAAATTGTGACCCTTTGTGGGTGAGATGCCAAAAGAGAGAACAGGTTCGCAGATATATATAATTTTCACAACAGATCTTGCGTTAGCAAAAATGTTTGTATGTGTGAAATTTGAAGAAAGTTGGATGATTACTCCGGTTTCTTTGAGCGTTTTATTTTTTAAAATCTTGAAACCTATGTGGGGGTGGTACCAGAAGAAATGGTCCGATCTCTACCATCTTTATAACAGATCTTATGTTGATGGAAATTTTGAGATGTGCCATGACTGAATGGTGTCGGATGTTCATTTCGCGTTTTATGAGCTCCTCGGATACTCAAAATTTTGACCCTTTTTAGGAGAGGCACCAAAACATGTGGACCAATATATCCCAATTTCTCACCAGACCTTGGATTAAAAAAATATTATAAGATATGTAATATGAAGAGAACCGTATGCTTATTTCGGATTATATGATCGTTTTGGTTTTTCAAAACGTTCACCCTTTGTGGGAGAGGTACCAGAAGGAATGGTCCGATCTCTACCATATTTTAAACAGATCTTGTGTTGATAGAAATATTGAGATGTGCCAAGTCTAAATGGAATCGGATGTTAATTTCGCGTTGTATGAGCTTAATGGATACTCAAAATTTTGACCCTTTGGAGTGGACCGATATTATCCAACTTCTCAGCAGACCTTAGGTTAATAAAAATATTGTGAAGTGTGTAATTTGAAGACATTCGTAGTCTTACAACACATTTGAAAAGTGTTATAATTTTTCCATATTTTGACCCTTTGTGGGGAAGGTACCTAACGGAGTGAACCGATATTGTCCATTTTCGCACCTGACCTAGAACTGACGCAAATATTAGGATTTGCAAAGTTGGAGCAAAATCCGATTTTCGTTTATATTACTGTGCAGAATATATATATATATATATTTTTAAATTTCGACCTTTTGTGGGGGTGGTACCAGAAGGAGTGGACCGATATATTCCATCTTCACATCAGACCTTGGATTGGCAAAAATATTGTGATGTGTTTAATTTGGAGACAATCGGACACTTACATCACATTTTATAAGATTCAATAATTATTCAAAATTTTGACCCTTTGTGGGGTAGGTACTTGAAGGAGTGGACCGATATTGTCCACTTTCGTGGCACTGATGGAAATATTAGAATTTGCAAAGTTGAAGCAAAATCGGACTATCCGTTCTCTGTGCAAAAAATTAATGTTTTGAAAAATTCGACCTTTTGTGGGGGTTGTACCAGAAGGAGTGGACCGATATTCCCCATCTCCGAACTCGATCTAAGTTTGATAATAATAATACCTTGTACCAAGTTTGCATCAAATCGGATACACCCTTCGAGGGTTATTGTGCGCACCAGCCAGTCAGAAAGACGGATTTGGTCCAAAGAGACCTAGGGTTTAATTTCGTTTTTTTCGATAAGGCACATTTTTGCCGTATCAAATGATATATACCCTCTATATGGCTGAGGGTATAATTAATTTATTTTCAGGTCTTTTGTGGAAGGAAGGTCCTCCCTACAACTCCGATAAACAAAGAACTACGCACTGATAAAACCAATATTTTCTTTATGTGTACACATAGCATATGTACGTACGTACATATGTATGACTATGTGTGTGTGTGTGGTGTATGAACGAACATTCTCATCCATATGTATGTACGTACGTACATGTGTAAATATATATTCATGTGTATATTTCTATGCAATATCCACGAATTAGCAGCAAAACATAAAAAATTTCAAACAAAGAAATCTTCAAAACAAATATTATTGGCGGAACGCACACAACCGTACACACGTCACACAAAAGAACTGCGTAGTAGTTTTTTGTTGCTGTTATTTCTTTGGCGATTGAAGAGTGGAGTTTTGTAAGACAAGAAGTGAAGTAAAACGAATTGGGGAAAAACGAAGTTAGTTATCGACAGACAAGTTCAAAACAACAACAGCAGCAACAACAACGAAAAATCATGCACAAGAAGTTGTACCTATATAATGAAATATATGTACATACAGACTTTTGGGATATAGATATGAATGGCATGGCTCGACAGAAAACCACAGAAAATGTAAATCGCTTCATGGATCAGGCACATTTTGACCATTTGGCAGGAAGGCAGATACTAAACAAAGAGGAGATTATTTTGTCGTCCACATTTACAAAACACGAGCTCACTGCCCTCCCTGGAATCGAAACTTTTATTATTTTGAAATTTATTTCAATAAATTAAAAAATTATTACCGTTAAAACCCATACGAACGAACGAACACCAAAAAACCATAATCCAAAACAATAACAAAGCATAACAACAAAAAACATATGATAAAGAAAAAAAAAACACAAACAAATCTCTATAGAAAGAGAGAGAGAGTTGAAATGACACAAAGAGAAAATGACAAATAATAATAACCGTGATCGAAATGACTAGAAAAGACGTAATAACAAAATGGAAGGGGCACAGACGGGGGTGACAAGTCGATTCAAGCACATAGTCCGTCAGTCATTTATACACCTCACCTCATCTGTGTACATACACATGTACATATGCTATATACTATGTAGCAATGTTTGTTTGAAACTGCATTTTATTATATATTTCTCCTGCAATGCTCACACTCAAAATCCCCAGGAGAGGGAGGGAGGGAGGTGGATTGGTGGCTAATGATGACCCCACCGTGAATTGACACCTTATTCTGCATTCACCTGATGTAATATTTAACAAAATAAAAGAAAATACTTACAAAATCTCAAATCAGCCAGCTGCAATAGTCAGCCCCAGTTTGTGCTTCTCCAATGGGGAAAAAATTTGACTGAATGACGTTTTTCGTTTCGTTTTTTTCTTCTTTTTTCTTTGCTGTGACAAAGAAGAACTACAAATATTCTTTTCAAGGGAAATCTATTAACATCATTTGGGTTGTTTTTATTAATTATTACACTTCACTATTTGTTTTTTCAACAATAAATTCACAAATTGTTTTAATTTTCTTCTCGATCTTTTAAAATATGCAATTTTTTCGACTTCGTTTCCTTATTATTTTTAATCTGCCCGATATGAAGAACTCAACTGACACTCTCTTCCTCTCTGTTGTTATTTTCGTTAATGAGAATGCCAGATTTGCTAAGGGACTTGTAGTGTTGCCACATGCACAAAGAATACTAGAGAGTTGGAAGAGTAACCGTAAAGTGCAAGTAATCGTATTGTATTGGGAAAGAGAAAACTCCGTTAGATTCAAATTTCTCAGAAATTACAGCAAATCAATGAATGTTTATATTACTTAAGATGAGAATCATGGTAGAAGAATACAGGTAGATGTATCAACGCTTGGGAACATTGATATGTCAACATTTTTAATTTTTTTTTCAAAAATAAGTAGATTTTTACAAGTTTGGTTATACAATTAAATTATATGAAAATCCAAAAATGGAGTTTCTTCTGATAACTTTATCCCTTCTTCTTCTTCTGAGTATTCTCCATATAGGTCCACGATATAAGGATACCTCACTATATTCGGTATTTTGCCGATGTTAGCTACATTTTTCAATGGAATTGTCTAAAAATCCATACTAGAAATTCTTTCTAAGCACTTTACACCCTGGAAGAGAAACGTCTACATAGGTCCACGATATCGTTTCTAATGGATACTACAGTCTATGACAGAAAATTGTCCGTGAAGGTCCAGGTCTTCGTATAGACCCCATATAACGGCATCTCCCGATATTCGGTATTTTGATTATTTTAGCGACATTATTCAACGGAATTGTTTCAAATTTTATATTTAAAGATCGTGATGAGAACTACAGTCTATGACAGAAAATTGTCTATGCAGGTGTAAGTCTTCGTATAGCCCCCATATAAGAGCATCTCCCGATATTCGGTATTTTGATTATTTTAGCGACATTATTCAACGGAATTGTTTGAAATTTGGTATTTAGAGTCCGTAATGGGAACTACAGTCTATGACACAAAATTGCCTATGTAGGCCCAGGTCTTCGTGTAGACCCCATATAACGATACCTCCCGATATTCGGTACTTTGACGATTTTAGGTACATTATTCACCGGATTTTTTCAAGTTTCATATTTGAATATTTTAATAGATTATGACCCCAATATAACGGCTATATTCGATATTTTTAAGATTTTAACCGAATTTTTAACGGATTTAATTTTTTGACAATTTCTAAATTTTTTTTCAAATGGTGGAGGGTATTCAAAGTTCGACCCGGGCGAACTTACAGCTGTTTTACTTGTTTGTTCACACATTTCTATCTTCAACACAGAAAACGTAGATTTTTTTTAAAAAGTTGAAAATCTTCAATTTTGAAATTTTGTGCGCCCGACGTATTTGGGTAAAGGTAAGAATACATAAATCGTTTTTTTGACTGGCTTAAGGGTGGAAATACATAAAGCGCATGGCTGGCTTAAGTCACCGGCTGGCTTTTTCGCAGATAAACAACGGAATTTTTGGTTGACTTAAGCTGGCCATAGACGAAAGATAAATTCGAGCAATTTGTTGGGTTTGTGGTCGCGTTTTTACGTCTGTGGGGTAGTTTGCGAACAAATTGCAAGTTTTTGAAAATTTTCAAAAACTTGCAATTTGTTGGCAAACAAATCATACGTGTGTGGGCTACTGCGCAAATTTTAAGCCATTTTGCCATTTCAGTTGCTCTTCAACCATTGTAACGAAAGGTCGTGTAGTGCACACAAAAAATGGCAAGCAAAGACTTTATGATAGAATTTTTTGAAGTGTTAAAAAATGAAAATGCCATTTGGCAAACAAAAAGTGAAAAATATAAAGACAAATTAGAAAAACAAAAATCATGGGAAAAACTCGTAACAAAATGGAAAGAGGTTGACAAAAATGCTTCGGTGGACGTAGTAAAAAAAAAAATATAATTGCCTACGAACAACGTACAGAAGGGAGCTGCAGAAGTTGCGCAAAAGCGAAAGGTCAGGTGCAGGTGCTGAGGATATATACGTGCCGTCGCTGTGGTATTTTGACCATCTTAACTTTTTGCTCGACCAAGAGACACAGTTGGAAGGCAAAAAACCAATTGTTAAATAAAAAATTTTCTGCCACAAAATTCAAACAGAAGCACAAACCGAAGTTCAATCACAAAATGAACATCATCCGCTTCGTAGCATATGCTTACTCTTCAACGTCGGCCGAATTATGATTTGTTCGAGCGTGTGTGGAGAAACGATATGCAATAAATCGCAGCAATAAATTTGCAAATCACACCAACAAATCGTTCGTCTATGGCCAGCTTTAGGCTCCTTTGTTCATTTCCGAAGAAGCTAGCCGATGACTTAATGGCTGGCTTCTTCGCAGATGAACAACGGAGTTTTTGGTTGACTTAGGCTCCTTTGTTCATTTCCGAAGAAACTAGCCGATGACTTAAGCCAGCCATTGAGTCATCGGCTAGCTTCTTCGGAAATAAACAAAGGAGCCTAAGTCAACCAAAAACTCCGTTGTTCATCTGCGAAGAAGCCAGCCGGTGACTTAAGCCAGCCAAACATGCGCTTTATGTATTTCCACCCTTAAGCCAGTCAAAAAAGCGCTTTATGTATTCCCACCTTAAATATTTGTTTTCTCAGAAACCTTTTACACTACGAATTTAGGGCGAGTAAAAGTGGAAAATCTTTCAAATGACAAATTTCAATACCTCGCAGTATCTGATGTTTCCAATAAAGTCGTGGCAATTTTTTTTTTATCGAAATTCATCGAAAACTTTCCAAAAACGTATATGTCATTATTGCTGGTATGCTTAATTTCACGTTTTTGGCACGTTTTGGATAAAACAACTGCTCTGTTCCAGTACCTGCAACGATCTACCAGTTTTGCAATTTTTTTCGATTTCATAAAGGGAAAATCGGTTACAGACCTTATATTGTCTTTTTATTATGGACTCAATTTTGTGGAATGACCCCAAAATTTCCATTCATGTTTTGTAGTTTTACCCCAATATAAGAATTTTATGAAAAAAAAAATTAAAAATCACCAAAAACACACGTTGATAAGATAAATGTCTATAAGTCTCCAGCACAGAGTTGAATTTTCCGAGTTGCTTTGGTGTTGAACAACCTTACTTATTGAGCCATGCAAATAATTATGTCCTGTCAGAATTTCTTTGTCATTGGCAGTGTTGATTTTCGAACAAAACTCAATAAAATTGTGTTTGTTTTTATTTTTTCCAATTCTTTTATTTTCGTTAATTTAATGCAAACAATATCACTTAAAAATTGCTTTTAGATTTTCTCTTTTTCTATATGGCTTGTGTACAGGCTACCTGTTGAATCTAACATTTACCATAAAATCATGAAAGCTAAAGCGCCTTTCACTTAAAAGTAATCGATTACTTTTCCCGTTATCTAGCATTTGAAATTGAGACATTCTATTGATCGGTCTTTGTTGTTGTTGATGTTGCATGTCCTTTCGTGATGTTGGCCGGTAATTCCAGAAGGCTTCTTATCAGAGCATGTTCACCTCAATTCAATTCCAAGTTGTTGATGGCCACAACAAAACAAACAACAGAAGGAGGTGATAATAAAAATGATGCATCAATGCAATCTTACCACAAGCAATTGGATGCACTAAAGGTCAGCAGCAATGCATGGACAAAATCGACATTTGGAGAATTTGCCGAAAAGATGATACTGCATCGTTTCGAATATCTACTTGAGAAGACCAGTTACATGGAGGAGTTGAGAAAGTCCCAGAAGCGTATGTTGGAAATACAGGTATGAAGGAAAGTGTGAGTTACTAAAAAATCAATGGGAAACACATTTTAAAATATTCTATGGAAGGGACTGCATTTTTGGGACATAAAAATATAAAATTGAGGCCTAAAGGCCTTCCAGGGGTCTATTATGGACGTATGACTTTTTGAGGTTTCCTATACATTGAGGACATGTTTAACGACTTCTAATCCTAGAATACCTCTTTTAAGTATATTTGGGTAAAATACCTATTACAGGTCTTCCATAGATTGAAATTTTTTTGCAGATATATTATCCACTGACGGCCTTTATAGTTTAAGCTCTTCTAGAGGGCTATCTTAACTTAAAATGGCTTTCATTAATCTTTCCTTCCATGCACAGAAAAACTTATATGAAAATGCTGAAAAAAGACGTACAATTATCAAAAAATTAAATGACCTAATGTCCGATAATGGTAACCAAGGAAATCAACTACCAACCACTAAAGTCTTGGTAAGTAATCTCTAAAAAATTTCGCTTTAAAAACCTTTTCAATTTTTTTTCCTTTATTCTCTCTTTTTCAATAGAACATTGCATCACAAAAACAACTATGGCATGAATACAACAAACTCGAACAAGAAGAATTGTCGTTGGCCACACGATCAGTACTAGCTATCAACGAGACATATGAAGCTGAAAAATTACATACAAAATTAATGCGGTCCTTTGGTATCCTTCTAACGATTGCCAGCTCTCTGCTAACCTTGGTTTTGTCCTATCTAATACGTCGGGAGCCACAACAACAGCATCAATATGCACATATCATGGCTGGAAAAAATCAATCAAACGCTGAATCATGGACGTCGTATTTGCATAGAAATACGAAATGGGCGTATAGTTGGGTCGATCGATTTCGTTAATCTTAAGAAAAGTTGATATAAAATAAATCATTTTGAAATAAATAAATTTGTTAATAAGAACAAGGGCCAAAGTTCTGAATAACTAAAACAATCATAAAATCCGTAATAAACATCCGGTTATCTTCAAATTACACACATCGCAATATTTTTATTAACCCAAGTTTGGTGTGAAGATGGGATATATCGGTCCACTCCTTCTGGTACCTCCCCACAAAGGGTCAAAATTTTGAATATTCATGAAGCTCATAAAACACGGAATTAACATCCGATTCTATTCAAACTTGGTACATCTCAATACTTCCATCTTCAAAAGATTTGTTATAAAGACGGTGGAGATCGGACCGTTCCTTCTGCTACCTCCCCACACAGGGTTCAACATTTTTGAAAAAAAAAAAAAAACAAAACAAAACGCTCAAAGAAAGCGAAACAAGCATTCAACTCTCATCAAATTTCACACATCCAAATATTTTTGCTAACACAAGATCTGCCCCATAAAGGATCAACAATTTGAATAATCATACTTAAGTCTGGGGTATAAATATTTCGAATATTTCGGCAAAACCGACTGATACTATTTTACTTGTTCAAATTCACGATTATTGAACTGAAGATCCATGGTATATATTCTTCAAAGAATTTTTGATTATTGGTCCGAAGGTCCATAAAAAAATATTCTTAAAAAAAGTTAAAAATCTGTAAAATCGTTCGGGCCGAACTTTGAATACCCTCCACCATTTGGAACTTATTTGGAAACTATCACTATTTTACTTGTTCAAATTCACGATTATTGAACTGAAGATCCATGGTATATATTCTTCAAAGAATTTTTGATTATTGGTCCGAAGGTCCATAAAAAAATATTCTTAAAAAAAGTTAAAAATCTGTAAAATCGTTCGGGCCGAACTTTGAATACCCTCCACCATTTGGAACTTATTTGGAAACTATCAAAAAATAAAATCCATTAAAAATTCTGTTAAAATCTTAAAAATACCAAATGTAGCCGTCATATTAGGGTCCAAACGACGACGTGGACCTGCATAGGCAACTTCAACAAAAAAAAATCGTTGAAAAAAGTAGCTAAAATCATCCAAAATACCGAATATCGGGAGATACCGTTATGTGGGTGCTATACGAAGACGTGGACCTGCACAGATAATTTTTTGTCTTAGGCTGTAGTATCCATTTCGTACTTCAAATACCAAATTTGAAACAATTCCGATGAATAATGTCGCTAAAATCATCAAAATACCGAATATCGGGAGGTACCGTTGTATGGGGGCTATACGAAGACGTGTACCTGCACAGACAATTTTCTGTCATAGGCTGTAGTATCCATTTCGAACTTCAAATACCAAATTTTGTAACAATTCCGATGGATACTGTCGCTAAATTCATCAAAATACCGAATATCGGGATGTACCGTTATATGGGGGCTAAACCAAAACGTGGACGTACATGACCCAGTTTCAATACCAAAAGTCCTGCATACATAATATACATTGGAGTAAAATTTTATCAATCTACTTCAATTCGTTCGGAAGCTAGAGGGATTTCCACAGACGGACATCGCTAAATCGACATAGAATTTTATGCTGATCAAGAATTTATACACTTTGCGGGGCCTAAAATGTATATTTCGAGGTGTTACAATCGGAATGACAAACTTAATATACCCTCTATACTATTTGTCATTGGATTCTGTTAAAAAATCCCTACAAATGCACCATTATTTATTGGACATCGAAACCCTAATAAAAATTTCCAAAAATTCTCGATTTTTGGTCATTGGACCATTTTCCCTAAAAATACATTATTCTTGGTCATTAGGTCCTTAAACAAAAAGTTCTTCTCTAAATCCCCGATTATGTATATTTCGAGGTGTTGCAAACTGAATGACAAACATAGTATACCCTCCAAACCATGGCAGAAGAATACAGGTAGATGCAACAAAGCTTGGGAGCATTGATATGTCAAAAAAATTAAATGTTTTTTCAAATATAAGTAGATTTTTATATGTTTTCTTTATACTACGTCAGTCGGGGGCTACTAAAATTTGCGTTTTTCAAAATTTTTTACAAATTTAAATAATTTTTTATTCAACATTTTCAATTCCAAAATCGGTATGACAGTTCATTGTCCCAGCAGCTGTGTCGAAGCGACTACCTGTATTCTTCTGCCATGCTCCAAACTATGGTGGAGGTTATAAAAATACATCACATGGTTATTTGATAACCGCCTTGGCCATTAAATATTGCTTATCCGGGGAATTCCCTAGTAATGGCAAATAGCTCGTATTACTTAATACGCATAAACAAACCAACACATACACAAAATAAATATTCCCAAAATTGAACTTTTTTTTAAATTAATTTTTATTTGGTTGCCCAGCCGTACATCCAACGGGTGTTTCTTTTCAAATAACTACCCCATGACTCCGACTGTGTTTGTTCGCGCAACTCTGATATTTCTTGTTCCAATAGGAATTTACGCTTTGAATGATTGTAGGATATAAAAACGATGGTCAGGAGTGACGAAACTATAACGCCCATGACACAGACCAATTTCAAAAATTGTCTTTCCTTGTTGATGGCCTCCACAAAAGTGTTGATCCCCGAAGCGGATTCTTTGCCCAGCAACATTTCACTTTCGTCCGCCTCATAATATAGTTTGAGTAAATGCTTTTCCATATCGCAGAGCTTCAATAAGAAAATTTAATTTTGAAAGAAAAACATATTTTAAACTTATAATACAATTCACTTACAACATCGATTTCCTTGCGTGTCTCTTCCAGATATGTGCGATTGACTTTCTCCACATCCAGGCCATTGTAAATGTTGTTCAGTACCGAACGTACATCGCACAGCTTCCTCATAATTGAGCGTTTTCTTTCGCCAATGTCCATCAGTTGTTTCTGAAATATTTAACAAAAAAACACTTTAAGTTAAAAAAAAAAAATAAAACCCAAACCTCTACCCACCTGTAGATTAAAAATATGATCCTTGGATTTCCTTAAGTTCTTAACTGTATTTGAGTTTTCCAAAATCGGTGCATTTCCTATTTTGTCCGCCAGCAATGGATATGACGACTCCTTCCATTTATTTATGGAATTTAAAGCAACTTCTTTAATGGTGGTCCTTAGCTTCTCATCACCATAGTTTCTGGCATGAAATACAAAGTGTTTCTGATTCCAGATTTGGGGACGTGCAAATCCATGCAATGTTAAGGCACGCATTTTTGAATCGTCCACTGCCGGCGAAGTTGATTCTTCCAAGAATTAAATTTTTTTGACCTTTGTCCAAAAATTGGAGTTGCGATTATTTAGACGAGTAATCGGTAATTCATAAATATAGACTCTGTTCCACAAACTTTTTTTTTTTTTAAAAATATTTTTTTTATTTTTTATTTTTTTAAAAAAATATTTTTTCAATGAAAAAATACAGGGTGAGATAAAAAACTGCAATAAAGCTAAACGCCATAATTTTTACAATTTGCTTCTAAAATTTTATTGAATGAAACAAAAAATGTCGGAAATAGCATCAAATTTTAGAATAAGTTTAGATTTGTTCGAATTGGTCACATTTGGACGAATTATGACCTTCAAACGGACAATGAAACCGTCACACGGTGCCCGAATGTTGCTCTGCGGTATTTTGGCCCATTCCCGGCGATGCGCTTGCTTGAGGTGATCGACACTTTTGGTATTTTTTAGTGCCAACCATGCTTTCCAAAATACTCCAGACACAATAGTCCAACGGATTGGTATCCGGAGATTTTAGTGGTCATTTTGTAACCATTCTTGGGTGGAGCGTGCTGAGTGTGATTGTGCTGAGTCCTGATGGAATGTCCAAGGTCTGCGTCAAAAATGTTTGCGTGCCCAAGGCTTTAATTCATAATTTTTCGCGATAATATTCGGCATTTATTCTGATGCCACGGTCGATTAATACGAGCGGAGAGCGACCATCGGCTGTTATGGCGGCCCACACCATCACCATCGCCGGCGCTGGAGTTCTGGTGGCCAAACGAAAGTGCACATTTTCAGCTGACTCTTTTTCAAGTAAACACAATCATTTTTGGTCTATTCCAGAACTGCAAGAATGTAAAAGTGCTAAACTATGATAACCGATTATCGAAAAAAATTGCAAATTTAGTAAATTCTTGCAGGTTCTAGAACAGAGCCTTTGTTTATTCACAAACTGCTAAACAACGAATGTTTTCGCATCGGAGAAAACCAAATTCGGCAGTTCACCACTTTCGGCCAAGCTACTCTTTAGCTCTTTTGAGTCTATTTTCTTTCTGTTGCGGTGTAAGTTTTTGCACTTTTTGGAAATTCAATGGATTTGCCCCGAGCTCATTTTTCAATATTTCCCGAATGGAATATTGCGATATGTTCAGCTCACGGGCCATTTTTCTGCCACTGCGATGCGGGTTCCATCAAGTCGCTTCTTTACTTTTCAAAGCATTTCTGCTGATGTTGCTGTTTTCTTCCGTCCACTTCTTGACGTCGGGCTACGCTACAAGTATCACGGTAACGAGCGATGGTACAATACACATAAGATTTATTCACATTTAAATGCTGGAGTGCTCTAGTGGCTTAGAAATGACAGCAGTCTGAAGATGGTTGCAGTTTTTTCCATCTCATTCTATATGTGCTCGCTTATTCGCGACGGCATGTTCCCTCTTTCGAATTTGTATCTTGCATTTATACAAGGGAGTTTGCCTTTTTGTATAAATTCAAAATTGTTTGGGCTTCTATTCAGAACTGCAGGAATACAAAGCTTTTTACTGCGATAACCGATTTTTTCTCTATGATATCGAAAATAATTGCAAAACTAGTAGATTTTTGCAAGTTTTGAAATATCCATTATTTGTCGTGATTTATTTGATTTATACTAGGTGTGTTTACAGGCGACAACTTTTATCCTTCTCTTTTGAACGTGCTTTTTGCATTTTTACAAGGCATATATTTTCAGCAATTTTCTATTTCACGATTGCCTTTTCTGTAATTTTTTATTATATTTTTGTATAAATTCGTACTCCCATCACTGGCATGTCGTTCGATAATATCGATAGAGAAACAACTATCAATCGATACTCCCTTTAGCAAAACAAAATATCGATATTTCTCATTAACTGTTTGCCAGCTCTAACGAGCCAGGAGCACAACTCGAGCAAAGAGATTTTTAAATAAAATTAAGTAAATAACTAAAAATATATTTGAAATATTGTAATAACAAAATAAATAAAATAAATTGCAAAATATTAAAATTGATATAAAAAAGCAAAATAAAACACGCCCACTAACAAAGCGAAGTTCATTGTAAAGATTCGCGGCGTCCCGTTTTAATTGTCGGTGAATATCGTGTTAGAAAAGAAAAACAAATGTGTAAATGTGTGGTGACGATTTTTTTTGTTGTTATTGAAAGGAAAATAATCAAAAGAAAATAAAAGTAATCTAAATATTGCTGAAAAAAGGAAGACTTATATAAAAGAAAAACAACAGCCTGTGCCTCTTTTCTCGAAAGTGTTCGAAAGGTAAGGAAATTTAGTTGGTTGCTTAAATGGTTGTGGAATTGTGTGTAACCCAAACAAAAAAAAAACATATGATGTGAAGCTATTCCTTACCTCGCCATGAGATAAACAAGTAGATTTTTTTCATAAATTAGGCAAAAAGATGCAAAAATGAATCAATTCAATAGAGTTTTTGCATAAAAAAGTCATCATTTCTAGTCTTGCTTAAGTAAATATATGATTTAATAGGCTTGGAACTGTGGAACATAATTTGCAACATGGCCAGATTAATTATGCCTTTTTTTACATCATATTCATAGTTTGTAACATCTTGTACTTATATTCCTTATTATTCTAGTGTTGCAATTTACAGCTGGTATGTCGCCCATGGTGTATAATTACATGTATGACGTAGAAAAATGTGGGAGTGTAACATGAAACCTCTTCAAGAATTTTATCTAAATGAGTTCTTTTTTCGCGAATATGGTTGCCAATTTGGCGAAAATTATAAATATAAAAATCGCCCAAATGGTATATCTTCAAAATCCCTATAACTTGAATATGTGCTATTGAATCTTTTTATAATGTGTTAGCCTAAGCACAAATCACTCAAAATAATATAGCCGATGTCTTTTAAATGCTGAAAAAAGCAGGGTGTACATACATTGAAGACCAGAAAGTTCAAATTAACGCTGATTTGGTTTGAAACTGGGGTCAAACCCTTAGCCATAAATCAAGAGGCACCGATGTATGGCGGCTGCACCCATAAATAGACCAACATTGCAAATTATTTGCAAGGCTCGAGCCGAATTTTTTTTTGTATCCCCTCGATGGGAAAACTTAAATTGTGGCCTGGTTGATTGGCCTCAAAATCCTAGCTTCAACAAAAAAAAAAAACTGGATTGGCCAAATATTTGGTGTTATATGTTACATACGAGATATCAGAATCTTTAAACGTACTAGAGTATCAGTTCTAACTCCTGCTTCAATAATTTGGCTATTTTCACGGACTGTAACCAGAGATCTTCTGTAGTGAGTAGGGCGTCTTGTGCGGGCCAGTATCACACGCTGGGTAGAAGTTTTGCAAATCATCGTCAATTCTTGTCCAATATAATTTGAGAAGACTACGCCATCCTGAACGTAGTTGCGCTAAAACTACCCGGGCTTGTCGCTCTTCATTTGCAATGAATTGGAGTAGACTTTAAGGACGCCATTTATACTGGCATTTGGAATTGCATATCAGTATGAATTCCTCTCAGACCTGCCTGATATGATTCTTGATCTAGAGGCTCTCTCTCTCTCTTGTAGCGTTACATCTCTATCTCTAGATCATGTACGTCCTTTCTGACACGCCTGTGTGGGGTACTTCTATCCACCATATGATGGTTTGGATGACTCCTACGATAACGCCGAAGCAGGTACTGCAACGAATGCATATGATTATACTCACGTAAGGGAAGGACCTTCGCCTCATGTAGATTGTCCACTGTTGTCATGAGAAGGTTCCCTGTCGCAGTTCTCAATGCAGCATTCTGGCAGGACTGAATGTTCATCCACTGCGTAGCACTTTTATTCGTAGACCACGATCATGGTGTCGTACCGCCCTGTTGATGACATATTTGTATGGTTGTAGCGGTGCTTGCGAGGAATATGAACATATCCGACACTATTTCAAAGGCCACACTCTTTACATAGTCTGAGGAGATGAGAAAAGTGCTGAATGTGCAGGTCGAGGGAAATATAATTTCGAGCACGAACTACTCCAAGATCCAGGGGTCACATTCGATACCATGTTCAAGTCGCCCGCGCAAGCCACAGTTATCGGCGACTAAAGCATCAGTTATCCATTCAGTTGGAAAATATGTCTAGAACCTTCAAAATTCCACACCAAAACCTGGACTTACATTAAAAATTCTATATTTGAAATGCCTCCAAGAGGTCTTCTGAGCAAAAATGTTATAGAGTTTCACTTTGGCTTAGGGATCCTTACAAGACCTTTTGGAGGTCTTCCATGGATAGAAGACCTTCTAGAGTTCCTGATGACTGAAAAACGTTTAGATTGAAATGATTAAAAGGTCCTCCCGGTTAAAAAATTTTTTAAAAGTTTTCAGGCGTTGGAAAAATTTTGGATCTCTCTTAGACAAGGAATCCTATTAAGAGAAAAATACGTAAAGGTCTTCTGTAGCGGGAAGCACTTTTAAGGTAGTCTGTGGTAAAAAATCAACCTTGTGGTCTTTTCCCAGTGTTTATACGTCTTTCTATTGGTCTTCATTGGATTTCTGATGCTGGAGGTCTTTGAAATTGTCTTTCAATTATCCAGGATCATCTTTTGACACTCTCCACCATGATATATACAAAGTCAAAATGAGGACTTATATCAACATTTTTTTTGTAACGAAATTTCAGACAAAATTGGGGAAAGCCATCGGAATGTCGATATCGATGTTATATCGAGTATCGACTGTTATATGGGAGATATACTAAAATTTGGACTTATATTAACTGTTTTCCAGGTTAGGAACCTGTAACAACCTTCAAATACCAAATTCTAGAAAATTTCGTTGAAAAATGCTCCGAATATCGCCGAAATTCAATTCCTTCGGAAGATAGCTTCGGATAAGAATTTTAAGCTGATCATGAATAAATATACTTTGTGGGTTCTAACATGTTGGCCGGAGATCGATTATTTTTATCGAAAAATTGTGTTCAGCGACGAAGCTCATTTTTGGCCCTATGGATACCTATATAAGCAGAATTGTCGATTTTGGAGTAAAGATCTTGGAGAAGCTTTGCAAAAGTTTCCAATTCATCCAGAAAAAGTCACATTTTGTTGCAGTTTTTTGGCTGATTGGACAGTGCTTCTTTGAAGATGCTGCGAATCGTAACGTAACTGTGAATGGTGAGCGCTACCGTAAGATGATATCCAACTTTGTTTTGTCCAAAATGCAGGAGATTGACTTTCTTGACAAATGTAAGACGGTGCCACACAGCACGAGTTAACATTTGTATTCACGTTCAGGACCTGTGCCTATGTCAATAAAGACGAGCAAGCTTTAATTGACGCATTGGAAGACATCATTGCAGTATTTTTATGTGTGATATCGGTCGAAACGTTGGAAAGTATGTATGCCAGAATTGGACTAAGAGCATAGACCACTTGGGGTACAGTAGGGGTCAACATTTGCACGAAATAATCAATTTATCTGAATTTTTTGTGTTTCCTTTTTAAACTTTCCCATGGCTCTTAAAAAATCAACCTTTATATTATGGTAACGATTATTACAAAATGTTGAAACTTATCCCCATCTAAAATCGTTTGATAACATGGCAACCCTGGTGGCGACAATGCACTGCACTGATGAGCAGTCGGAGGAGGTGAAGGATGTTGGCATTTGATAATGAGGAAAAAGAAAATCGCCTGATTTCTTGTGTTTTCTGTTTTTACTGTTTTATGTTTTTTCTTTCTTTATAAACAATCAGGCAAACATACATACCACATATATATGTAGGTATGTATGTCTAAATGTTTGTTTGTTTTAAGTATCAGTATGCACATCTACTGTACTGCATATGGATGGGTGGATGGAAGATTTATAAATAAGTGGGGTTTCTTTTTTTTGTATTTCCAAGTAGTTACATATGTTCCTTGTGAATACCAAATATGAGAATCTTGCTCTTTCTCATGGAATTCTTTTCTTGGAAGAAATTAGCATGGGATGAAAAATTTGATTTTTTTTTGACAAATGAAGGTCGTGCTTTGAAAAAGTTTGAATATAAAGATAAACGATCTTCTGTGGCTCAAGACTTTGTTGTGATAAGGTGGTTCGTTGTTTATAGTCTGATTAATACAGTTCTTAGATGTCCAGGATTTGGAATTCTGCCAGCTTTATGGGCTGTAGCTAAAGATTCCCTGTAGAGGTATGCTTGGGTGGACAATTAAACAGATGCAGCGTGTTGTGCGGTCCTATATCGCACGATGGGCAGACGTTCCGCACATTTTCGTGCCCAAAATTAATTGAGACGGCTGCACCATCCTGAAAGTAGTTGTGCCAAAACTACCCTGGTTTGCTTAGGCAGCCGACGTTCTTTACCTACAATGGATGGGGGTGGACCCCGAGCATGGCATTCATACTGTAATTGTTAACTACGTCTGCGACTGCATCAGTATGAATTTTACTGCAACGAAAGCATATGATTATGCTAACGTAAGGGAAGAACCTTCGTCTTCTCAAGTAAATGGCCCACAATAGTCAAGACTTTGTAGTTGTTTTCGGTTGATAGGAAACCTTATAGAAGGTAGTCTATGGCTAAACTCTTTCTGGATGTCTTCAGTGAATAGAACTTGTCTTTGAACATTTCCAAAGTCATTCTATATATGTCCACGTTTTCCGATAGCGCCCTATATAATCCTATTTTCCGAAAAAAACAAGCGCCCAAAAATGGTACCTCCACTCCCAATTTTCTGGAAATTGTTGGTGGATCGAAGATCTTTTTGAGGGATTCAGACGGATGGCTAGAAATGGCAGATATGGAATTTGTCTAAAATTCTAAAGAATTCCTGTGACTTGAAGATCTGCAGGTCTATTGTGGCCTTAAAATCTTCTACAGCATTTTGTGTCTGGGAAACCTTAAAATGCCTTCTAGAGGTCTTCTCAGGCAAGGAGATTATATACAGACCCTCTATGGCTTGAATATTTTCTACAGGTATATTAGTACTCAGGGTCTAGGAGATCATCTCGAGGGCTTGAAATGCTTTCTATTTTTTTAAAGACCTTTTGTGACTTGAACAATTTCCACACGTCTCTCGTGGCCTTGTTAGCCTAAAATATTCTTTGAAAGTCCTCTCTTGGAGGTCTTTATTAGATAGAGTTCTTTATTGACTGTAAGGATATTCAACGAGCCCTCTTCTGAAACATGTGGAAGTTTTATCCGGATTTCTCTGACTTGAAGATCTATCGGTCTTTTGTGACTAGAGGGTGCTTCTGAAACAAGGATGTCTACTCTCCCTCTGTGGGTCAAGCAGTCCATCTTGAGATCTTCTATTGCTAAAATATTTTCCAGAGGTCTTCTGAAGCAAGAAGGTCTTCTACAGGTCCTTTGATATCTTTCCATGGAAAATCTTCTACAAGCCTTCCTGTGGAACATTTCGAGGACTTGAAGACATACCGGTCTTTTGTTTTTGGAAAATCTTTTAGAGATAATCTGTAGATAGAAATCATGAAGATGTTCTACAGCTATACTTTCTCTGCAGGTCTTTTGTTGCTAAAATAACTTCTAGAGGTCTTCGTTGCACAGAAGTTTTTCCAGAGTTCTTTAATGGCTGAAGGAACTTCCAAAAAAATTCCCACTATAAAATTTTATAAAAACCTTCCTTTACAACATTTGGAGGTCTTTTTGGGCTTAACGATCGTTAGATGTTCTTCTTGTGTTGGAAAAGATATTAGAGGTCAGTTATGACTAAAAGAACTTTAAGAGATCTCCTCTTACTAAAAGCATCTGACGGTATTCTGCAGCTGAATGCATTTCAAAAATTGTCGACAGCTAGAAGTCAATCTTGAGACCTTCAACAGGATTCGCCGAAAAGGGTCCCACTAAAATTTTAAGGCTTTTTAAATATTTTCAGAGCAAAATTAATAATTTCGAAAGAAATATCTGGCCTTTTTGAGGTTATCGATAATTTAAAGCCTTTTAGATGTTTACTACGAAGAAGACCTCTGAGGCTACCAGACTTCATAGAGCGACGTAAACAGAAATGCAAAAAAAAAAAGTTTCCACGCAATTTTACATAATTTTCAGAAATGTTAGCATTTCGGAAAGGGATCCGAGGGATCGATTAGAAACCATGTGGCTAGAAAATTCTTGGCTTGAAGAACTACTTGTAGACTTCAAAGGTTGGAAGAACCTATGTGGGTGCGTCTATCGGATACGATAAGAATTTCTTAATCAAATTTGTAAAAACATCACACCTTATAACAAAGTTTTGGAACAATAAAAAGCTTCACTTCTATTGTGGGCAAGAAAACGTCATAAACGATAGGCCGGCCGGCCGGCTAGCTGATGGGCCGTCAAGCTCTCTGTGCCGTGCCATGCCATTATAGATAGATTATTATTGCTGAGTAAACGTCGATCACACAATCGGGGACAAAGTACAAATGTTGTGGAACACTTACGTAGCCGGACAATTTCTGAACTGATAAATGAATTAAAAATAACAAAAACAATTGAAAAATACAACAACAATAGCAAGGCAGCAACACGCTTTTAAATCAAGTGCATAAACATATAGCAACAACAATGCTGTACTTTTGCAAAATATGTCTGGCAAATTTCAAAAGAAAAAACAAAAAAAACTGAAAAACAAAAACAATTTGGTTTATATTTTAAATTTCTTTGTTTATTTATTTTAGATTTGGTGGAAATTAATGAAAAAATAAAGAAACACAATATATCAAACACATATTTTGAAGTGGAATAAAAAATAAACGTTAAACACCATGAACCCCCTAACGTAAGTTCATCGTTTTTTTATTGTCCCCCCATCTTTTCGCAAATCAAAATAAGTTTCTTTTTTTCAAATTTTTCAGAAATATGAAAAATGTCATCAAACTCAGCGAACTGGAACTGAACAATGCCAGCGGCAAGGCTTCGTGGCATGATATGTATAAGGATTCCGCATGGATATTTGTTGGTGGTTTCCCCTACACTCTGACGGAGGGTGATTTGATTTGTGTCTTCTCACAATACGGCGAAATTGTAAATATTCATTTGGTCCGAGACAAGGATACGGGAAAATCAAAAGGTTTCTGTTTCATTTGTTACGAGGATACCCGCTCCACCATATTGGCTGTGGACAATTTGAATGGCATTAAAATATTAAATCGTGCCATACGAGTCGATCATGTTTTGGACTATAAACCACCGAAGGATGACAAGTCGGATGGTACCTTGGAAACTTGTGCCCCGCTGCCACAAATCTATGCTGGAAATATAAAGGGGGAAAAGGAGAAGAAGTCATCATCATCGTCGTCGTCCACAGCGTCATCATCATCGGATCGAAAGCGAAGAAAATAGATTTAGAAAGACAGATTTGTGTTTAACATTTATATAAAATTAGTTTATGTATTTTTAAATAAAAAATGACATTTTTGTAATGCAATGCAATTCAGTAGATTATATTGAAATATCGATCCTATTTATCCATGACAGAAAACCCTCCCATTTTAAACAAATCAAAAAAAGCATTTTGAATACCCTCCAGCATTTGGAACGAATTTGGAAATTTTCAAAAAAAAAAAAAAAAAAGAAAGAAATAACAAAAAATAAAATCCTTCAAAAATTTATCTTAAAATCTTAAAAATAATGAATATAGCCGTTATGTCGGGGTCTATATGAAGACGTGAACCTGCGTAGGCAACTTTTGTCATAAGCATTACAGGATCAAATAAAAAAAAAAACTGCAACAAAGTCAAACGCCATAATTTGTACATTTTTTTTTTTTTAATTTTATTGAATGAAAGCAAAAAATGTCGGAAATAGCATCAAATTTTAGAATAAATTTAGATTTGTTCGAATTGGTCACCTTTGGCACGAATTATGGCCTTCAAACGGCCAATGAAACCGTCACACACTTCCTGAATGTTGCTCTGCGGTATTTTGGCCCATTCCCGGCGAAGTGCTTGCTTGGGGTGATTGACACTTTTTTTATTTTCTTTTTGTATAGTAACCTAGCCCATAGGGCCATGGAGGGTTCCTAAAACTTCTATACATGACTACTCTAACTTTGGTATTTGTTAGTGCCAACCTTGCTTTCCAAAATACTCAACGGACATAATAGTCCGGTGGTATCCGGAGATTTTGGTGGCCATTGTGCGCTGGAAATGAAGCGAAGAACCTCATTTTGCAACCATTCTCGGGTGGCCCGTGCTGAGTCCTGTTGGAATGTCCAAGGTCTGCGGCCAAAATTTTTGCGTGCCCAAGGGCTTTAATACACCCTCCAGACTATTTTTGCGATAATAGTCGGCATTTATTCTGATGCCACGGTCGATTAATATGAGCGGAGAGCGACCATTGGCCGCTATGGCGGCCCACACATTTACGATGGCCGGCGCTTGAGTTCTGGTGGCCAACCGAAAGTGCTCATTTTCAGCTGACCTCTTTGGCAAGTAAACACGATCATTTTGTTTGTTTACAAACTGCTGGACAACGAATGTTTTCTCATCGGAGCGGAGAAGACCAAATTCGGCAGTTCACCACTTTCAGCCAAGCGAAGCAACCTTTTAGCTCTTTTGAGTCTATTTTCTTTCTGTTGCGGTGTAAGTTCTTGCACTTTTTGGAATTTCAATGGCTTTACTCCGAGCTCATTTTTCAATTTTTTCCGAATGGAATATTGCGATATGTTCAGCTCACGAGCCATTTTCCGCGGGTTTCGATCAAGTCGCTTCTTTACTTTTCGAACCATTTCTGCTGCTGTTTTTTTCGTCCACTTCCTTAACGTCGGGCTACGCTATCATACGTATCACGGTAACGGGCGATAGTACGAGACACAAAAGATTTATTCACATATAAATGCTGGAGTGCTCTAACGATAGCCACTTGTGGTTTTCCAGCTAAATATAAAGAAATCACACTATCACGCTTGAGTTCCATCACAAATAACTTTTTTTCTGGAAAATTTTCACCAAAATGTTGAGCTGTCACTGGAATAATTTTAACACCTGTCGGACGAGTGGCTTAGAAATGACAACAGTCTGAAGTTGGTTGCAGTTTTTTATCTCAGCCTGTATATGTTAGTCTTTTTGATATCACAACAACATTTCAGCTGGCCTTTATTGGGATCTGCTTGGCCATTTTATAAACTTCCAACTAACATTTCTCAGATGGGCCCCCGATTGTTCCATCAAATCGGCCTAGCCAAATATTATCTCCGTACCTAAAATTAGAATTGTTATTCGCAAATTGTGAACAAACGAAAATGGGTTCAAGATACCGGCAATGTGTTGCGTTTTAAAAAATGCTACGATTTAAGCGAACATGCGTCATGACGAACTTACTCTGCCCGATCAGGGCCGCACTCGATTGCTTCTTATCAGACAGATAATATAGATCAAGATTAAATGGAACACGTCCACTTTAGTCGCTATTGGTGGTCTACACACAAACATGACTATCTGCTTTGCGGGAATTTTGGGAAACAACAATTGTTTTTAAATAATTTTGCAACTTTGGACTTTGTTTATGTACACGTTTCCACTTCGACGTTATTAACATACGTGTAACGTGCGTGTCTGGTTTTGTAGACACTTTCAAACCATTTTTTTTTATTCTTCCAAATTACTATGTATGTATCAGCTATATGCAAAAAATATCTAATTATCTGTTTTACTTCCTGATTTAATTACAGCAAATATGATCAAAATTCTGTGAAACACAACCAAACAGTTAATCAACACTCTTAGCAGCTGAGTGTGTGAAGTGAGAGTGAGAGAGAGAGAGACAAGGTAAGCAGAGAGCAAGTAACTTCTGATAAACAAAAACAATGCTGCACAGTGTTACGATTTGAGAATAAAACTGGTAAATCATTATGCAATTATTAAGCCGCCCTTAAATCGAAATCGAATGATTTCCAAATAATCTGTCAAATAAATTTGAAACCGCCGCAAACAAATGTAGACATTCAAAACTAACGAAAAAACATCATTGCGTAATGACATGACAAGAATATAGGTAGTCTCATCGACACAGGACAATGAACTATAAAACCAATTTTGGAATTGAAAATGTTGAATGAAAAATAATTGGAATTTGTAAAAAATTGTTGCAAAATGCATATCAGGACACCGTTTGATTTGCGCCGTATAAGAAAACAAATAAATTTATACTTTTGACAAAACATTTTAAATATTTTGACATTTACAGGTTCCCAAGCGTTATGTATCTGTATTCTTCTACCATGGGTAATGATCAAGGCAAAGATTTTTATTTTCGTCTCGAGCAAGTACAGGGTGAGATAAAAAACTGCAACAAAGTCAAACGCCATAATTTTTACGTTTTTTTTTTTTAATTTTATTGAATGAAAGCAAAAAATGTCGGAAATAGCATCAGATTATAGAATAAGTTTAGATTTGTTCAAATTTTTCACATTTGGCACGAATTATGGCCTTCAAACGGCCAATGAAACCGTCACACGCTGCCCGAATGTGCTCCCAGCGCACAATGGCCACCAAAATCTCCGGATACCAGTCCGTTGGACTATTGTGTCTGGAGTATTTTGGAAAGCAAGGTTGCACTAAAAAATACCAAAGTGTCGATCAACTCAAAAGCAAGCGCTTTGCCGGAAATGGGCCAAAATACCGCAGAGCAACATTCGGGCAGCGTGTGACGGTTTCATTGGCCATTTGAAGGCCATAATTCGTGCCAAATGTGAAAAATTCGAACAAATCTAAACTTATTACCCCCTATTTACCCCCTGGTAAACATTACCATCGTTCTCCACTCATAAACAAACGTTGTTTTTATAAAAACAACAATAATGGGATTTTGCCTGACGATTTTGCAACAACAAAATTATTCTAAAATCTGATGCTATTTCCGACATTTTTTGCTTTCATTCAATAAAATTAAAAAAAAAAAAACGTAAAAATTATGGCGTTTGACTTTGTTGCAGTTTTTTTATCTCACCCTGTACTTGCTCGAGACGAAAATAAAAATCTTCGCGTTGATCATTACCCGTGGTAGAAGAATACAGATACATAACGCTTGGGAACCTGTAAATGTCAAAATATTTAAAATGTAGCGAGTAACCTCATTTTGTAGCCATTCTTGGGTGGGGCGTGCTGAGTTCTATTGGAATGTCCTAGGTCTGCGGGCAAAATGTTTGCGTGCCCAGGGCTTTAATACACCCTCCAGAATATTTTCGCGATAATATTCGGCATTTATTTTGATGCCACGGTCGATAAATACGAGCGGAGAGCGACCATCGGCTGTAAGGGCGGCCCACACCATCACCATGGCCGGCGATTGAGCTCTGTTGGCCAACCGAAGGTGCATATTTTCAGCTGACCTCTTTGGAAAGTAAACACAATCATTTGTTTATTTACAAACTGCTGGACAACGAATGTTTTCTCATCGGAGACGGAGAAAACCAAATTCGGCAGTTCAACACTTTCGGCCTTTAGCTCTTTCGAGTCTATTTTCATTTTGTTGCGATGTAAGTTCTTGCACTTTTTGGAATTTCAATGGCTTTACCCGGAGCTCAGTTTTCAATATTTGCCGAATGGAATATTGCGATATGTTCTGCTCACGAGCCATTTTTCGGCCACTGAGAGGGGGGTTTCGATCAAGTCGCTTCTTTACTTTTCCAACCATTTCTGTTGATGTTGCTGTTTTCTTCCATCCACTCCACTACCGCACCCATAAAGCATCACAATTTTTAATACTCTGGTTTCTGATTGAGAACCTGACATATATCTGGTACATCACGCACATTTTAAGATTTTCTAAAAATTATCACATATTTCATATAAAGTGAAGGAAGTAACCAATATATGCCGTACCTTACAAGACATTATTTCAGAAGATTGACGTCCAAGACAAAATTATATCTATGGGAGCTATATCGAAATCTGAAACGATTTTCATACAATTTAGCAAATTTATTTTTCTTCATACCAAATTTGGAGACAGTATCGATCAATAGATATGTGTTTATAAAAAATATTTTTTTGGAGTTACCTCCGGTTTGGGTGCTATATCTCCAGTTTCATGTGGAATTTCAAAAATGTATATAGCCTATGTTACTTTCAGGCGATGTTGTAGTACACATGGAAATTTTCAGGAAAATCTGTTCAGCGGTTTTCGAGACCATAAATTACAAACGTACAAAGATTTCCCCTTTTATAGATATATTTAAATCTAAATTTCATAATTTCATCTCAACGGATCAATCTTGCCTTCTTTTTGTCAATCACAAACACCCACAGTGTGGTGTAGGTTATTATTTCGACATAAGTTTTTGGCTACCTTAACCTTAGTGACAAAAATGTGATTTTTGTGGCATTTAAATCTAATTCTGAATCACTGTGCGCCGATATTTTCACTTGTTTACAGCAATTATAACCTTCCATCTCTGATTCCAGTACATTTGTCATCTAGTTGTCAAGAGAAACCATCTTAAGAGCAATATTGTCTCTCCTCTCACTACCAATGGCAACGAAAGAAAAGCAAGCAAGCAAAGTGTTGCTGTGAGCTTGACGGCCCTGCTTAAACAAAACGTTTTAACTAGCTAATACAAAGCGTTTGCACACCAGATACCAGGCACCGGTAATAAGAAATAAACATTTTTGTTGAGCACCACTCAGTTGCCGCTCAGCCACCAAAGACGGTGGACGTTTCCGATTGTCTGTGACGACGTGTTTGCGCGCGCGTTTATTTGTCTCTTCTTCGTCTTGTCTCCGAGATCGTAGTAAATTAGATTTTTTACGAGGCATCTTCCTCTTTATTAACGTCGATATCGTAGCAGCGTCATCATTTTTTTCTAAATCAGAAATTATAAAAAATAGCAACAATTTGCAGTGAAATGTATGTGTAATTTAGCAAGTCCAACAAAAGAGTTGAGCTAAAAAAAAATTCTTATAAGAAACCATAAATTATAAGGAGAAGGGAGGGAACAACAACAACTAAACTAAAACGTTCATCTAACGAAAAGAAAGTAATCCAAATTGTGGTGTCTATCCAACGTTTTTTTTCAATACCTTCTTTTCTTTTGGTTCACCCATAAAAAAAGCAGAAAGAAATTCAGAAATTTCATCTATCTGATAATGGGAAACGGAAAAAAAGAGAGAGAGCAAGTGTCAGTGAGTTAGAGAGAGTGAATGAATGAATGTGAGAAAGAGTTACAAAAGATCATGCCACCGCCATACAACCTTCATACAACAACGTGTTAATAACAATACAACAAAAATAATAAAAAAACACAACAACAACAACAACAAGAAAACAAAGAAGTTTCGTATTGTTTTTGGTTTTCTGCAGAATCTAATTGAACGAGAATACAAATTTCTGCGTTGTTGGCAAAATTTGAAAAAAAAAAAAATAAAACAAAAGAAAAAAATATTTCAATTTCTTTTAAAATAAAATCGAAATCGTTAATTTCTATTCCAGATAAATACAAACACCCACCCAAACACACACAACATTCTGTTGCCAAAAATCCACGAAAAAAATCAAAGAAACGTAAAATAAATATTTAAAAAATGACAACATCCACCATTAAACGGAGACGTTCTCCCTCGGCCGCCCATAGCCCACCAAACGATGAGAACAGCGATACGGTGGCAACACCTGTCACCGGCGGCGGTGCTGTGATTGCCAAAACAGATTCCGAAGAATCTGAATCTCTGGACTGGACGGGAAACAATTACATAAATCCTTTCATACATCGTTTGAATATTGAAAATCGCGCCGATTTAGCCAAGGTAAGTAGTTTGTCGAATATTTAGTATAACTTATTTTTATACCTACCTGTCTTCCCGCGATAGCTAATTTATGGTCTTCCATTAATCAATCACTCGAAATGCTATAATCAAAGGAAATGAAGTGCTAAAGTATTGATAGGCAAGGCAGCAAGCCAAAAATAGACCATGCGTTGTTTAGGTGGAAGTATTTTGATTTTGGAAATGGATACCTATAACACTTTATAAATCTGCGACGAGTGAAAACATAGAGATCATTAGATTTTTAGGAATATTTTTTCAAAATCATTTATATGCCCTCCTCCATACATAGTATGGAGGATATATTAAGTTCGCCAGTTCGTTTGTAACTCATCGAAATAATAATTTTAGACCTAACAAAGTGAATATATTCTTGATCATCGTAAAATTCTAAGACGATTAAAACTCGTCGTCCGTCCATCCGTCCGTCGAACAAAGATAGGAAGCTATAATTTTGCACAGATCAGTTTCTTGTCTATTGGCAGTTCATGTTCGAAGATGGGCTACGATGTCGTAGGAAGCTACAATTTTGCACAGATCAGTATTTTGTCTGTAGGCAGGTCATGTTCGAAGATGGGCTACAATATTGTATAGCTTCCATGTAACAGTACCCACCGATATTCGATATTTTGATGATTGTAGCCTATTTTTTTCAATGAAATTGTCTGAAAATCCATAAAAAGAGTACCTTCGAGTATTTTATCCCCTGGAAGAGTATTGTTTATATATGTCTACGATATCCTATATCCTCCACATAACATTACCTCGCTATATCCGGTATTTTGATGATTTACGCTACATTTTTCAATGGAATTGTCTAAAAATCCAACCATAAAAGTTCTTTCTAAGCACTTCACCCCAGGAAGAGAAATGTTTATATAGGTCCATGATATCGTATAGCTCACATATAACGGGACCGCCTAATATTCGGTATTTTGATGATTTTAGCGACACTTTTTACCGGAGTTGTTTGAAATTTCGTATTTAAAATTCGTAATGCGAACTACAGTCTATGACAAAAAATTGTCTATCTATCTACGTTTTGGTATAGTCTGCATATTACGGAACCTCCTTATATTCGGTATTTTGATGATTTTAGTGACATTATTCACAGAAATTGTTTCAAATTTGGTATTTGAAGTTCATAATGGATGCTACAGCCTATGACAGAATCGGTGCAGCCTATGGTTTTTGGTTACATCGGTCCACTGATACCTCCTCCACAAAGAGATACAAATTTTGAGTAACCATGAAGTTAATGAAACACGAAGTGAGCATCCTATTATTTTCAAACTGGACACAATCCAATATTATTTCTCAACACAAAATCTGCTGTGAAGATATGATATACGGATTGAATGAATGGATTCTGGAACTTCCCCCCAATAGGTCAAATTTTTGAATAACAAAACGCACATAAAAGCGAACTAAGCATCTGGTTCTCTTTAAATTTTGCACATCCTAATGTCTTTTATTATTCAGTATCTGATGTGAAGATGATATATATCCCAGTTCTGGTACCTCCTTCTATAAATAAATACCCCTGTATTCCATTTACAAAATATAAAAACCCCTTATCGGGTACCCTAAACACATCCCCTTTACCTTCTGTGTAAATCACTCAGTATTTTATTAGGTGTTAAGATTTTATAGTTTTCTTCTTCCGATGCAATTCTTGTTCTAACTTGTTTTCCAATTATGCAATTATCTACAATTGAACTCTGAGATCGATTGGACAATCGATTGCCATCACTTGAGAAAATCCAAAGCAATTAAATAATCTTCGCAAATAGTTCTTTTCAAATCAATTATGAATTCTCAACTTTAAATAGTGTGTGAAAATAAATATTCTCAAATTTTTTAATGTAACAATTAAATTTGATTTTATAATAAAAATGGGCATATCTTTTAAAAATATTTAAGAACAATTAGGATAAAATTTATATAAACAAACATTTTAGGAAACATTCTTTTAAGGTTCAATCCAAAATTGTTTATAAAACAAGTTAAAATGTATCAGTCGGTTTTGCCGACAGCTGTATACCTTCAGCCCATGTTCTATTATTTAAATATATTTTGACTTCTGTTATGATTATTCAAATTGTTGACCCTCCGTATGAATGGGCCAATGTTGTACATTTCGTATCTGACCTCAATAAATATGATATAAATATTGCGACGTGCCAAGTTTAGACTATATCGAGTATTTCATTCACATTATATGAAATATTTGATAATTTTTAGAAAATATTAATATGTGCGTGAATTACCAGATATAGTCGACCCAAATATTCCATTTTCATACTTCATCCAAAACAGATAAGTAGATTGGTATGGCCAAAATTACAAGAAAATCGAACATTTATATTAAACTAGCTGAACCCGGTGCGCTTCGCTACCCCTTTTGATTTTATATGCATTCAAAATTTTATTTACGAATATATGTTGGTTAAAAAAAAAAATAAAAATTAAAAAAATTTTTTTTGCACTACTTTAATGCGTAAATAACCAAAACCATTAGAAAAGCAGTAACATGACATACATACACGAAGGTTTTGTCTTTCGGATTTATTTATTTCATAGTAAATACCAAGCGTGCAGGAAACTGCAATTTTTTTAAGTAGAGTGGCATTTCTATTGCAATTAGTGAATTCGAGATAGCAACATACTTCGCCGTAATAAGCATATTTCAAACCAATTGTTGTGTTGTTTTTTAGTGTTAGCCTAAGGCGTTGTGGGTCCATGGTTCTTATTAAAATCAAATCCCAATCTGATCCGGTTTAAATATAATTTAAAAAAAATTACTTTTATCCAAATCTTAACTAATTTCCAATTAATTTGTCACATTTATTATTGTAACCAAATTCCGCCACACATTCTGAATTTCATTGGTATTGGTCATATATATCATGTTTGGTGCATAACATATATGAAATCGGCCGAAATATATATGTTAGCTATATCCAAACCTCAACTGATTTCAATATAATTTGGCAATTTTTTTTTTGGTGCCAGATTTTGTCTCTCTCGCTTTGGGTGCATTAAATATGTGAAATCGGCTGAGTATATATATGGGAACTATAATCAAATCTGAGCGTATTTGAATATAATTTGTCAAATTTATTTTTGTACCAAATTTATTTTTGTACCAAATCATGCCGAATTTCATTGGAATCGGAAATACGTATCATGTTTTGTGCATCAAATATGTGAAATCGGCGGAAAATATATATGGGAGCTATATCCAAATCTGAACCGATTTTAATATAATTTGACTAATTTATTTTCTAATCAAAATCCCGTTACATATTCCAAATTTCTTTGGAATCGAACATACATATCGTGTATGGTGCATAAAATACATGAAATCGGTCGAAAATATATATGAGAGCTATATCCAAATCTGAACCGATTTAAATATAATTTGACAAATGTATATTTGTTTTAATTTCCGCTACACTTTCCAAATTTCATTGAAATTAGAGATACATAGCGTGTTTGGTGCATCAAATACATGAAATCGGTCGAAAATATATATGGGAGCTATATCCAAATCTGAACCGATTTCAATATAATTTGGGAAATCAATTTTTTAGATAAAATCTATCACACGTTTCAAATTTCATTGAAATTGGGGATACATAGCGTGTTTGGTGTATCAAATGCTTGAAATCGGCCGAAAATATATATGGGAGCTATATCCAAATCTGAACCGATTTCAATATAATTTGACAAATTTATTTTCGGATTAAATCTCGTCACACATTCCAAATTTCATTGGAATCGAACATTCATAATGTGTTTGAGGCATCAAATGAACGAAATCGGTCGAAAATATATATGGGAGCTATATCCAAATCTGAACCGATTACAATATAATTTGGCAAACTTATTTTTTTTTCCAAATTCCGTTACGTATTCCAAATTTGGAGACTGTATCTTCAACCAATCAATAGATATGCGCATATAAAATCTAAATTTTTGGGAGGTACCTCCGATTCTGATGCTATATCTCCAGTTCCAAGTGGAAATTCAGAAATGTATATAGCCTATGTTACTTTCAGGCGATGTTGCAGTATATATGGAAATTTTCAGGAAAATCTATTCAGCGGTTTTCGAGTCCATAAATTACAAACAAACAAACAAACAAACAAACAAACATACAAACATTTTCCTCTTTTATAGATATAGATTTTATGCGAAATCATAAATTCCATATCCATATCAGGTTTCTGGTTAAGAGAAATATTTCGATATAGCAAGTTGTAAAGAATCGCTGGCTTGTTTCGCGAGTTATGACAGATATAAGCATTGGAAATTGTGACCATTTTTGGGTGAGGTACCAGAAGGAATTGGCAAATACATATCATCTTTAGCAAAAATATATGGATGTGTGAAATTTGTAGCGAACAGAATGCTTATTTCGGATTTTTGATCGTTTTTTTCCAAATCGTGAACCCTACTTGGGGTGGTACCAGAAGAAATGGTCCGATCTCTACCATCTTTCTAACAGATCTTGTGTTGATGGAAATATTGAGACGTACCAAGTCTGAATGGAATCAGATGTTATTATCGCGTTTTATGAGATTTTTAGATTTTCGAAATTTTGACCCTTTGTGTAGAAGGTTCCAGAGGAAGTGGTCAAATATATTCCATCTTCACAATAGATCTTGTGTTAATAGAAATAATGTAATGTGTGAAATATAAAGTAAACTTGATGCTTAATTCGGATTTTATAATCGTTTTGGTTATTCCAAAATTGACCCCTTGTGGGGGAGCAATGGTCCGATCTTTACCATTTTTATAATAGGTATTGTGTTTATGGAAATATTGGGATGTGCCAAGTCTAAATGGAATCGGATGTTAATTTCGTGTTTTATGAGCTTCATAAGTATTCAAAATTATGACCCTTTGTGGGGGAGGTACCAGAAAGAGTCAACCGATATCACAACAGATCTTGGGTTAATAAAAATATTGTGATT